CACGAGATTTCTGGGGGGACAGGCCCCCCCAGGACCCCCCTAGCTACGCCTATGGCCACCACTATCCTCATCAAAAATTGAAAAATGAATGTAAATACAAAAATTCGACATATATCACGGACTCGCAAGTGCTAATGAGTTTATAGGAAGGTTACCTTTTATTAATGCGTGAAAGTAAACTGTCCTCGTTTAAGGAATTTTAATATCTTCCCAAAGTATACACTATGTTTCCGTCATCAGAACTATAAAACTCGAGTTAAAATGGAAAAACGCAGGCCCACTTTTAGCGGTGGCGGTTAGTAAAGAGAAACGAATAATAAAATTGTAAGGTCGCATAAAATCGTTTAAATATAGGAATTTTCGACAGGAAGGGCAAATTAAATGGAGAGAGTTTATAGTAAAGGTCTGAATCAAAAATAGCTGCAGAATGCATTTAGGGCTAAATTTTCATAATTTTCCAGGGGGCCGAGTCGCATCCCCCACCCCCCTCACCGACGACGTACATTTTAGGGGGCGCACGACAAAATTTCACTCAGGGCTCCGATCAGTGGCGAGGCGGGAATGATCGATTCTCGATATGTCCCCATTTGAAGTTGTGATAAAGAATCGATTATTAACGTGTTCGTTGCGCACACCCTGTTTATCGATCCTTTTCCATGTGTTTATAGGCCCATCGATACATCGCGAAGTACGCCACGCCACTGGCTCTAATGATGCCAAGCCTGGGCACGGAATAATGCCGGACATTTCCGCGTTCATTTACCAGCATCTTTTAAAAGCACAGACGATACTACAAGATACTTGTAAAAAATGAGGACCGTATCAAGGGAAATCTGATTTACAGAGCTGCTGCGAACTGGAAAAAATGATACATTTAAGGGGTAAGAGACATTTTTTGGGAAGAGGAGCCCGCCTAACCTTTCGTGTGCTATGTTCCCCCTCAAACTTTTCCCCTCCTCTGCGTATTTTTCTAATTTCGATAAGCACAAGGACCGCCTATGTTCAGAATTTCAGGACCTTCGTTCAAGTCGTCATTTTGAAACGAAAGATGAGCTTTAGGAAAATTCTCAGAGGTAATTTAAAATGATCGTTTTTCGGAAAGTTTTCGAACTTGAGGCCAGTTTAGAAAAAATCAGATTTTACGCTCAATTTTCTCAAAGCTCCCTTTTGATTGAAGATGGACGCCCATGCAGTGCAGAGCCGAGTTTAACAGAGAAAAACAAGGCACACCAACACACCGAGCCAAAGAAAAAGAGGTTAAACTTTTATTCCTCCAATAAGGCTCATTGTCAAGATTAGAGGTAATGTCCAATGCCTTTTTACTATTCAAAATCTTTTTTCCCGACTTTGAATTCCTAACGAGAAGTTTCGGCGGTCAAGCTTAAAACTACTCCTAACTCACAATTTCCCAAAATGTGACTCGGTTCACCCAGTTCAACTGGACCATGGAGTAATTAAAATGCAGCCCGAACATTACTTATTGTGAGTGCGAATTTCCGATTATCTGTGATCGCAGCAGCAAGCTTTGATTCCGCTGAAAAATTATTCGCAACCCCCCTCCCCCCTCCTCTGTTGCAATTATTCTGGCGAGCCGATTAAACGCCGAGTAATTTCATGTTCATTCCAGGGCTTCGAAATTTCGAAAAAGGACGTTAATGAAGGAATCCTCTCTCTAGCCGTATTATTTGCAGCGCATTAACATTCAAAACAATTTCAGCTCGCACGTCTATTTTCATTCAGGTCGAAACGAAAGAATTCGAATTAAGTTGGGGAAGCTAATTTGATGGACTCGACGTAGCACAGCCAGTAATACTCCACGTGGAATCGCGGCGACTCGTTGCTAGGCAACCACGCTCGGGAATCTTGTACTCGGCAGTCGACGGCGACTCGGGAGCATCGTGAGTGGATAAGCCACGCCCCCCTTCCCATTCAACTCATGCTAGAGCTCTTCAACCGACGGTGTGCGGCGCATCCCATTGGTTCCGGACCCCCGAGGATGCGCTCCCATTGGCCCGCGTCGCGAACGATGCGCCTTCCACGTGGAATAATGTTTTTCACAGCAGAGAAAAATAGGTTGTAGTATATGTTTGGGTTTTGAGTTCCCCTTCTAGTGATACCAGTAATCAGAGAAGTCCAATCTAAGGGGGTGAGCGGGCTGTATTTGTGAAAACCAAGGCTTTTGCCCTTAACATGAATAATGAAGAGAGAAGGAGAAACTTTGCGGTGTTGAAAGATGGAGGAGGCGAGAAAAGCGAGACCGAGAGAGAGCAATGTTTGAGCGAGACAAATAATTCGGGACTGCTCGCCGTCGGTTCTTTATTTTCAGCACTCGGGGATGGTAAAATATACTGGCTCCTTTGTGATATTGGAATTCCAGAATCAGACAGCAACCGAAGGAGGGAAGTAAAAAATAAACTAGGGAGAACAGTTCAACGAGGCAACGAGAGCAAATACCGTAAATATTCGTCCACGAGCTTAGATTCTGCATGATTGGATCCTCACCGCAACTCTCTAAATCATACTTTACATTCGAGACATAAACGGAACAAATGAGGTCTGTTTTGTTAGCATCTTGTTTTGAGAGACAAACCGGTGGGGAAAACATGTGACAAGAGCCTCATGCCTTCAGCGACCTATTTTTTCTAGTTTCTTTCTCCTTTTTTTCTTCAAATTTATAATTTTTGATGATTCAAATTTCTGATCATAAATGTCCCTGCAAAAATCGCTGGAGCTTATATTAGACTGTGGGCGACAGTTATATAAATCCAAAGTTGTACCTAAAAGTAGCTTCAAATGAATTCGAAACTAGGCACATGGACTACGAACAAATTGTTCGACCATACGACCATTGTCCGGAACAATGGTCCGAGGCTACGACTCAGTGCCCAGTGAAAATGGCAAATAGCATGACAAAATGATATGCCATCCCCCAAGTTCATGCATGAAAACCTACAACCACCTGTGTTTCCAAAAATTCCACGATCGAATTTTTGGACGCTTAGTTTTAACACTCATAGATACCTTCTAATCTTTATATTTTGAAAAAAAGAGAAAAAATGATGCTACTCGGAGATTTGCTCTCTAAATTAAATTCTTAGACGACGCACCCAATTTGCAAGCGTTTTAAGCTGAATGTTTCTAAATTCGTTCGCAAAATTTTCCTCATTGAATATCCTCCTGCTGGCGAGTGGCGTTGACATTAAGAAAGCCAAAACGCCTTCAATTTTTCGTTTATGCAACGCGGTCATCCTTCAAACACCAATAGTTGCATCCAGGCGCTGGCTTCCATGTAAATATCATTCTTTGAGGCAAGCGGAGTTTATATTTCGCAAAAAATGAAAATACGGCAAAATATGGACTTACTGTTCTTTGACTTACCGCGGCAGCAAGTGTATGTGTGATAATTTCATCGCAAGTTCCGTTCATTTCGTTGGCGGGTGGATATAATTCAGCGACGGCAGCGGAGGTGGCCACGGGTGAAGTGAAGGGTGAGAGGGAGATGATTCGCCAGAACATGATTCTTTTAGCCGATGCCTCGCTTTCGACGCCTGTAACCTCCGTGTTTTCTAATAGTTTCTGTTCCCTCATTGTTCGGTTGCCGGTGTTTTCACATTGTTAACTTGCTTCAGAGGCCCGCGCGGCGCGCCCCTCGCGTCGCCCCGACCCGGCTTCGCTCCGCTTTAGTCGAGTTCAGAGCGCGCATCGGGAAGCATCTTCGCGTCGCATCACCAGCGCTTCCCGCCCGTTGGATAACTTCATTCCCCTCAAAGTTTTAGTGTTTTTAGTGCAGCAAATCTGTGGATAAGTGTAAGTTCTCGACGCATATTCGATTTCGTGGCTTTCGAAGTGATATTCTGCCTGAGGATTACGGTGTTGAGTCAAGCTCATCTTGCAGCCTGTCGGAATCATCATCGAGATGTTCAGCTCCCGATACGAATTACAATGTTTCTGCGTGGTACATATTCCTTTGCTCCTGTGAAACGTGAATTGTGTGATCGATCCGAGGTTTGATCCAGCTCTATTGCGAGCGAATTTTGTGAGAAATAGTGTTTTTCAAGGTTGGCCTGCCACCGCGTGTTTGTTTACGTCCATCATGGCGGTGATTGTTTGGCTGACGGCGTGTCGGCGTTTTGAAAATAACCACGCAGGAAGTTTTGTTCCTAAGAAGTACTAGATGTATAGCATCTAGGTTGCAAGATTTGAAGCTATCAACTATGTCGTTTGTTCACACTTCTGCATGTTTTGTAACACAATTGAATGGAACTACTGTAGTTTCAAATTACCTTTTACTGGTCGTTACATGATTAGGGGATTCCAAGGTTGGAAATCGTTGCTTTTCAAGTCTCTCGTGCACGCTTATTTGAGTTGATCTATTAGCTCACAATGTGCCCATCAAATATTCAGGCTTAGGCATTGTTATGGATGTCCCCATATTGCTTTTTAGCCCTCATCCATGCTTTTCCAGTTTATATCTATCCCATCATTTTCATTTTGGCTTGACGAACTTAACAGTTCTTCTCCAAAGGCTGGGCCAACTGGCAACTCACACTAATTATCATTTCCCATTTTTCTTGGTGTCCTAGTGCATAAAGCCAATGCATATTCTTGTTGTTTTTCCGATATGGTTTGAGGTTATGTAGTGTTTGCTAGTCCGAAGTAAGTTGGAGCGAAAATTCTGCCGTTTCTATTTGATGGGACATTAGTCGCAAGGCATGTTTGTGTTTGCATTCTACGTATGTTTTTCATCTCTCACCCTTTCAAACCTCAGATAAGGACTTTGTGTTATAAGATTTCTGATCAGATTAGGTAGTATCTTGCAGTCAAGAGGAAAGGTTTGCTTTTCGCCGTATGTAAGCTCATTCAAACTTTAGGTTTAGGCATGCTTCAGATCTTGCAACTTAGTTTAATTGTGTATTCTTACAGGTGGATAATTTTTCGCATTGATGTACCAGAAGAATAAATTGATGCTAGTGCGACAAGGTGTTTAATTGTGTTTGGTACTGGTGTGGTGATATCACTACTTTCAAACTGTGTGAGTGTATCAAAGTGTTGTGCAAGAAAGGATATAAAAGCCAGTGACTGCAGTTTTCTCGGAGTCTAAGAAAGGATAATGTTTTGCTGACATCTGCCATGTACCCAGCCCCTGGCATGAACGCTGCAGCTGTTGCTGCCGCTGCTCGGCACCCTGTAAGTAGATTTTCCATCTCTGTATCCCACTAGTTTATGTTTTAGAGCTATTACATGGATTTTGCCATACTTACTGAGGGGCTTTTTTTATCTGCACCGCTGAGGATCGCCATGGAACGCATCGCTTCCTATCCCGTTCCACTGGCGCGCTCCAGTGGAATGTTCGAACCGCTTTTCCAAAGGTTGAAGCCATTTGAATCGGCCTGAGCTGCAAAGATCCCGATCCATTGCGTTCCACGGATTGAAAAAGCCCCTTATAATGAGGTATTTTGTGAAAGTAGTCTTCTTTGATACGCAACAATGCTTCTGTTTCCGAAGTAAATGTACTTTGCTGAACCCCGGCATCTCTGTACGTTATCAAGCAGTATGTGAAAGAATCATGCTTTCATGTGTTGACATGGAAGTAATCTGATGTCATTTTCAGTTTTCACAGCTCATGATACACCAGAATCACCACTTTATATACCTGGGAAACTCTTGACCTCATCTCTTACAAAGCTGCAAGAGTAGCTTTCCACTATGGAGGGAACCAGGAAGTTTTTAAGGGGTGGGGGTTTGGGGGGGGGGGGCACTGAAAGACACTCCAATAGAAAGGATCTGCGGAAGTATCCCAGCTCTAAAACATAGTTGAGGAAATTTCCCCAGGTACATTTACAGAACGGTCGGGGAGGGCCGCCCCTGCAACCCGCAAGGTTTTCAAAAGAGAGTAGTCTTTGGAGCAATTTGAGCTATTCTTACTGAAAAATCGATCAAATTACTTACAACTTCAGGAATGAATACTATGCTCTTACACACTTCTTAGTAAAGCGAAACCTCCCACTTACATTTCTCGGGAGGGACCATCAGATTTCTGAGGGCATTCACAAGTTCAACCCGTGCTTTCCACAGAATTTTCCTGGATAAAGTTGGGTTGCCAGGAAACTTGGCAGGCGATAAAATATGACGAATGTATTGTTATACATGGATTCAAGTGATCAAAATACGCCAAAAACTTTTTAAGACACTCTCAAGCCTGGGACATTCCCGACCATTTTTTATTTTGTCGAGCAGTGTTATCCGTAATAGACACCCTCACAATATCATATTGGAAATGGAATTTTATTTGATCTCGGATCGGGATGAGCGCTTCCACTCGATGATCGTAGGTGTGAAAAGTTGTGGACGTGTGGGCTTGTAATTGGCAGGAAGTCGGTAATTTCACGAGGATTGTAGCCTCCTTGTAGTTGATTACGTGTTCCTTTAAGTAGCTGCTTTCTGTAATTGCTGCCTCCCTTATCACCCTGTCAACACGTTTGTTTCCGACCAACTACAATTGCCGGATTGAGACATCAGAAAAGCTGAGTTTTTCCTCGCTTTCCTTTCCCCTTCGGCTCCGGGTTCCTAGGCAGACCGCTAATGAGACACCTGGGTTGTCATGATTCAATTTTGAGACGATGAGCTCATCTTAAAATTATCAGCCGCCGATAACCGGATTTAAATTTAGTCATGACATACATAATTAGTGAAAAGAAAGGTTGCTGGGTTCATTGTAATGCTGTCATCCCAGGGTTCCTGGCAGCCTGGCATCTGAAAGTTCAGGGAATATACGGTGACGTGAAAAAATCGGGGAATGTATCATGTGTCACTTCAGCATTTTAGAGAGTGTACAACTTCAAAGTGCCTTTTTTTCATAATTTGAATCTTAGAAGGAAGTTTTTTCCTAAGTTTAGCAAAAATCAGTGTAATAAAAAGAAATAAATTTTCAGCGGAAGTTTGGCTCGGGGATCGGGCCAAAATTCTGCTCGTTTCATTCGAGGCACCACGTTCTCGTCCAAACAAAAGTTTCAAAGCTCCAAGCGCAACCGTTTAAAATCCTCAGTGGGAGGGGGGCTCCAGACTTGTGGATCATCGTGTATTTAGTCATTGACGTGATAGGCTGCGAGCCTCTGTCTTCGCAAGAGCAAACAGAACAGAGTTTGGAACCTGAAAAAAAAAAAAAAAAACGATACAGTAATTCGTCTGTTTACATAAGATAGCCATTGTGTTCTTGTCCTGTCGTTTTTGAGTGACTCCAGATATCCTCACTCGAGAACACAACCGACTTTATCTGTATTTACACTCCGATCGATGCAGCTTCATTATTTATTTAGCCTCTCGAACACCCCCCCCCCTCCTTCCCCCTCCCGGCGTCTTTCCGTCAAATGTGAATGAAAGGAGAGCACCGTGAATATGTAATTTCAACGTCAACAGTTTCACGGGGGGGTTATTTTGACGTCTCGTCTCTATTTGAAACCTTCAAGTAGGTACCCGTTTAACGGCAAATATTTTCGGAAGGCCAGTCGCTGTTTTTATATTATATCATCCTTATCCGGTTTACCAATGATTTTTTTTCTTCCGTTGGTAGACTGATTTTCCACAAATGGCATCTCGTTTTCAACGCGAATTCATCAAAGGCATATACTTTTAGCTAAGAAGGGGGGATGGGAGAGTTCATCGGGAGGGTGTCGAAATTCCTCGGAAGGATTCCTGAAGTGTCCGATAACGCCCTAAAATTCATCACAATTTAACTAATTCGACTTTTAGTAGGGTATGCTTTCTATAGATGCACCGGACCCTCCCAAATACGGATTTACGCCAAAAGGTCTTTAGGTCAAAGGTCAAGCTCTTTCAGATATCCAGATACATAAACAGTTGACTTCGAATTGTAGAGGGAATGTACCGTCTTATTTCGAATTATAGAGGGAGGGTCATATTTACCTCCCACACTTCGAATTACAGAGAGAATTTTCGTCGCAATTTCGAATTATAGAGGGCCGCGCCAGCCCAAAAATTTCGAATTAGGTATCGAGAGATTTTCAAGGGAAACAGACTTTCCTTCAAATTAACGAGGTTTTCGAATTATCGAGGTTCGAACTATCGAGAGTCCACTGTAACGCCCCTAGAATTCACGTGCGATCAGCGATTGAGTTCTGGAAGAATTCTTAGGCTTGAGATTCGCGGTCAAACTCAAAGCTATTCGCAAGTCGTAAGTTTCCGCTCATTGCCTTTGCCTCCTTATTTAACAGAAGTAAAATTAAAAAATCATCAAAATGGTATCCAATTGGTTAGCGAGAGAAAGAAAGTACAGTAAGATAAATGGAAGAAAAGCAGCTTAAAGCGTTCCGTAATGGACACTTCCCTTCTCTTGTGTAACGCACCCACCTTGCAGGCTCTCACCCCCGAAAATCATTTTACAACGGAGGATTTTGAGGCGATATTTTGGTTAGTTCCACTTTCTTGTTTTAATATTAGGTATAGAAGGAATCATCAGTGATCTGAAACTTTTCATTATTGCAATCAAGATGCATATTTTCCCTTAAACTATGATTGAAGCGGAATGTCGAAGCCGTGTCCTAGTTTTGCGGCGGTATTAGCGCAGCGTGTGCGAGTCATCATCGCAGCGCGAAGCGCCTTCAATCAAGGTAGCGGCAATATGGATATCACCCGTGGTCGAATAGTTATCTCGAGAGCGCCTTCCGAAATCGAAGTCAAATATTGATGGACGCGCGCGAAAAACCAGCTTTTTCTCCGACTTCTGGTAGCCAACGCTCAGATTCGCTCTATGATGACTCATGTCATGACAAGAGACAACTGGTTTAGCAATCCTAACTTAATTTGCCAAAGCTAGTAGCAGTCGTAGCTAAATGCGCACCCCGACATTCACCAGTCATCGTTCGGCGGATTTCATGCCCTGCCAGTTGCTCCTCATTCATCACCAGGTGTAAACGAGCGTTGACATTCGAATTAACTTTCGATTCTCTTGAACCATTTTTTTAGGTACAGGGTCTCTCTAATGAATCTTCTCTGGAGCCGAGAATTCGAGAAGATTTCTGGCCGAGCCGGCAACTCGGCCGACTAATTAATCGCTCGAGAAAAGGAAGGCGCAGGAGCTGAGCCGACCGCGAAAAAGTCTAATAATTGTGACGAAGCAGAACGCCTCCCTCCTCCCCCCTCCCCTCCGCCTCGGATGAAGGGGGTCGGGAGCTAAGCAGCGAGACCAACGCTCGATTCATCATGAACTTGTAGTAGGATCGAACGTCTCTGTAGTTCTGCGCCTCCCTCGGAGTAGCGATTAAGTCGGAAAGCACGTATCTCCATTTGCGACGTTTCAGGTTTCCATTTTCATTTTTTCCAAGGTTCGTGGCGTCTCTGAAAAGCCAATAATAATATTGGCACTTGACCTTTTCCCCCCTAATTCTCAAGTTCTTGCGTGGCCGTCGCGAAAGGAAATTCTACGTTTACCCAAGAGACGTAACTCCATTCCGAAGCTATCAAATTGACTCCAACAATTCAAGTATTAGTTCTAAATACCCAACAGTCTCTAAGTAAAAATACTCACGATCTGCGATTGGAAATTTTGCAACGTCGAATTGTAGACGCGGTCTTTCGATCAAGGTAACTACGAATTTTCACCCACGCTAAAAGCAAATTTTCCCAAGGAAAGGAAGAAGAGAAGAAGAGGAATAAACGAGGGAATCCCGGAGATTTTAAGTANTCCCCCCCCCCCCCCACGTGTGCGTACTTTTTGCAGCTCACGCAACGAGCCTGATTCCGTGGACATCGATAATCGAACCCGTGTAATGGAACGATTTCATTCTTGGGTGATCTTTGGAATGAATAATTAATACAATACACTTAAACTCGGCTGAAAAGATGCACGTTCCCTTTCGAAAAGAAAGAGGACAAAATTACGGCTTCAAGTTTTGAGAACTTGCCTCTCCCCGCCACCGCGTCGGCAGCGCGGGGAAAAGAAAGGAGGGGGGGAGGGTCACTAAATGACGCTGTGAATTAATCCTCTCGTCTGAGATTAACCGAAGGTGGAATTACATATTCGACGTGTTAGCGTGTGATTATCATCGCTGGTATTATAAAACCGTTCCGCTCTCGGTCTGAACTCTGACCTGACTGCGCCGAGAAGAACTGAATTAATCATGAACTACTTATTCACTCCGTGCTGCATGCTACCGACGAATCGGAATTAT